AAAAAAACTTTCTGTCAAATGTTGGAATTACAGTTAAGTAACTTTCAGAAAGAAGATGTGTTTGTTCATTTCAAAGCTATTAAGCTTCGTAGAGAGCACTTTATCTTTTAAAGTTCTTTTTAGAAGATTGTCGGTGACATTGAGAAGCTGTGTGATGCTTCGGAAACTATCGAAATCAGCGAAGCAATTCAAATCAATGCAATGTGGGATTTTTCGTTTTTGTGTTTATGTAATAATGTCTTAGAAGTCTGCCACGCTCAAAATATTTACAGATTCTTGGAATGAACTTCGAGATGTCTGTTATCAAGATGAGAAGATTTATTTCGCATTCTGCTACATCGATTTTAAGGCACTACACGGACTGACACCCTGCCTCGTCTTAGGAGGAAGTTGTCAAAAGCTCTTCTAAGAGAAAAAAAATTACTCGGTCTCAACGCCCCTGGGTTCCCAATGCATATTCAGTGGACTTTTAAAATTGAACTCTTCTTATGCACCATTTCGCTAAATCTGCTTCCCACTCCCTTAGACATGGAGACCACGAAAGATGAGGTGCATATTGAAACAGTGTCTGGTCAACGGGCTTTCTTTCTTTTCGCCATCGACAGAACAGCTGTCCTGCTGGATTAGGTGTTCTTCAGCCTGTTAGATCCCGAAGGTCAACGGGCTATCAACTCAAATGGTATCCGCTACTACTCGCCGGGATATCATTGGCTGACCTTTCGGACGGTAGGAACCTCGTTATGTCACACAGCCGAGAATATTAGAATATAATATCAAGATGAGAAGCCTAAAGGTCCTTTTGCAAGAGAAAAGACACTACCTTATGAGGGAGCTCTGCGACTTTCAAATGGCACATGTGAAATGTTGGGCATTCCTGTGGTAAAAAGAACTATCAGAAAAAATTAAATGATGCCCGAAAAGAATGCTATAGACGAGTTGCTGACTTTGCATCAAGAACTGGAAACGTCAATGTTAAAGTCCAATGATAGGTTTCAACAAGAAATCGTACACACGCTACCAAGCCATGGAACTAATATACCATGGAAGCGATGGTATATTAGATCGATTTGCTGTCTTAGAGCTTATCAATCTAATCAAAACCTCGGGAACTCATCTTTCCAAAAGAAAAGTTTGGCTGAAAATTACGATGAGATTTATGCAGATGGTAGCCTTACAGAAATTCCACGTCAAAGAAGATCTCAACAATCTGCCACAGTTTCAAAAGAAGAGTCTTCATTGGACTACCTTATGATTCTTAGAGTTCGTGGTTGAATATGAACTTTAGGAATTTGTCCCCAATTTCACTTTAAGATTTTTTTAAAATTTGTGTGCTTCTATACCATCATGTCAGAGAATTTTTCAAAATTAGGACTAGTTAAAAATTATCTGAGGTCCACTATGAGCCAAGCGGCATTCTCTAATTTGACCATTTTGTTAAACAGAAAATACTGCTAAAGCGATCGATTTTGGTGACACAATTTCAAAATTTGCAGCAGAAAAAAATTAGAATAGACTCTAAGTTTCTTATTAAAGTTAACTGCCACTAACGAAAACTTTGCTTACGTTATTGCTTTACTGCTGCATTGATAACCAATTAAAACTATTTTATTTATACAAAGGTTTTTTTTAATTATTCGCTTCCATTCATAAAAAACTATTTACAAAATAATTAATATTATATTCTGTTTACTTAATCAACTTATAAAAAATTGCTTCCTCAAAAAATTTCATTTGATAATTTAGTGGAGATGAAGTTGATAAGTTAACCACCCGGTCGGATTATTTTGACTCCTCACCTGAACTTGGGCCTCATTGGAGTACAGATTTGCAAAGAAGAAAATTCATGACGTTAATAAATATTTTGGGACTATTAAAGAAACTTCAGTGTTTCAGTCCGTTTTTCTTTTTTTTTTCACTCATTTAGTACAAAATTATTATTTTAAGCCCTATTTTAAATCGATTCTACCCCTTCCGCCAAAAAAATTGGTTTAAAAAATTATTGATGGTTATATTTTGTTTCATGGAAAAAAAAAAAAAAGAAAGCTTTAATTTTTTTTTAACTGTATAATTTTGGTGAAATAAAATGTTAATAAGGACACAAATCTTTACTTGCATTGCAATAAAAAAGTGTTAGGCTTACCTTAAAAAAAGTATTCCTAATTATCCGATTTTTTTTTAAAAAATTCGGATGGCTTTGAACCCATTTGTTCCGGAATTCTGTAATGATGTTTTTGTTCCCGAATGTACAGTGGTGGCCATTAAAACTGCACAGCGATCAGTTGGTATAGTGGTTACCGTCGGTGACTGCCATGCCGAAGGGTCCGGCTTCGAAACCTGGAGAAGGCATGAATGTTTGTAGATGTATAGTGTGGTACGGCAGTACTGTATGCGGCAAGCCGCAAGTTTTATCGCGTGGTTTGGTGAAAGGGGTGGAAGACCTTTGGACCCGTCTCCCCCCCCCGAGGTCCACGGCCCTGGAATCCAAAGCCCCCATTACCATGTAATATAATGGACGTAATAAGTGTTTTGTAAATTAATCTAATAATATTACTGCTCAGTGCTAATGAAAAAAGTAGCATTATTAGATTATTAAGCGTGTAACATAGTAACAAGTATTCACACGCACGTTGCGACATTGGTAGCAGTATGACAGTCTTGTTCGTAAGGCGGCCAGAGCTTCGTTAACGATACAGCACAGAGTTACAGCAGTAAGTTGAGTAATGCATATGGTCATATGAATGGCGTGACATTGTTCATTCTGCCGAAACCTTCTTTTACTTGTAATACCAAGAAGGCTGTGTTTGTGTGTGGCGGCTGATTGTTGCAGTCTTGTATTATGCCCCGTCATGCCGATCAATCACGTGGATTTGTATTATTGGGTGCTATTGTATATGAACCCTTCTATCCGAGTTCGCATATCATTAACTAGCGTGACTTCTCAGAAGAGTTAGACGCTGTGGTTGTACCGTACCTTCACGAACATCGTGAAACCATTTACCTACACTACAACGAGCAAACGAATATCGCATGAGCATCGTCCGCCATTTCCTGAAAAGTACGTTCCGTTTTCATCATTGACTAAACACGTCTGATTCGTGATTGTACAAGAACTGGTATGAAAACGACCACCAATGGTTACAACGGATGAATGTTATCAAACAAATGGAGCCTCACAGACTGCAATATGCCAAGCTGCCACCTACAGTCTATTCCAACAAGAGCGGCCATGTAGCAGCAAAAATACTGCTACCCGTAACTGTTACATACTAGAATGTCCTTTGCTTGTTCTGTATGTCCAAATAACTAATCACTTCATGTGCGTATAATGAGGTATTTGCAAAATAAAATATATTTATTTTATCCTATTATTATCGTAATATCTTCATTATCTTTAACGGATTTCAGATTTTAAAGCCAGGCAGTTTCTTACTTATTTACATAAAATTAACAGATTTTAAACGTATAGATAATTTTAAAAGTAAAGTGCAGGTATTTTATAGGAAGTTTTATTCCAAAACAGTTTTGCACTAGCTACAAATGTTCATAAAAGTCCTGCTTTTACATTAGTTAATTAACGATTACATATGCAATGGTAATTAAGTGGACGAGTTTCTTTATCTATAATGGTAACTACGAAAGGTTCTTTTTCCTCCCGCTCATGCAAAAAATTCTTCAATTCCAAGAAATTTTTTTTTTTTTTAAACAACAGTTAAAACAATTAATCGAAGAATGTAACTTTTCTCTGCATTTTTCATTCAATTTTTTCTGCTATTTGTAAACGACTATTTGATTATTTTAAGATTATTTATTTTAAGATTTGATTAAGTTAAAAAATTTTGTCTTAGCCCATAATAAAATGTCTCTATTGGGGGGGGGGAGTCCCATAATAAAATGGGTCTCTATTTGGGATCTATTGAGATGTTAAGCAAAAGCAAAAAAAGAAAATTAAGTATGAAAATTAAAACATTTACCTTAAGTTTAGAAGATTAAAAATGAGTTGAGAAAACGGAAAAATCATTGAATTTTTTGTAATTTTATTTTTGAGCTAAGAAACAGTGCAAAAATGTATATTAACATTATCTGCAGGGATGAATTCAATGAGCGAAGACGCTATACAGTTACTTAGATATTAATTAATCAAAAATTTAATATTTTTCATTGATTTCAAGAAACAAATAATTTGTATTTCTTTTTCAGGAGATTATTCCATGCACATATCTCCAAAGGCTTTTTAATTATTCGCTTTTTAATTTATTTCTTTTTAATTATTTATTTATTTATTATTCTAAAGAAACAGATATATAGAGCCATTTATTGAGTGTAATGTGAATACGACATCAAATTATTTGTTGAAGGTAAGTTTGTAGGCAATTGTATTTAATTTTAATAACAAGTTAAATTTATATTTTTTCCTTAAGCCTTCATTCCTTGACTTGTCAATGCCAGAATATTTTAAATTTGGTAGCGCGTGTGAAGTAATGCAAATTCTACTTTGAGTAGAAAAGGTTTAAATACTGAGTTTTAGAAGGGAGTATTAGTTAATTGTATCTCTGTAGCGTGGGCTTCTGTTTCTGCAATTATTGCTGGTTAACGTGGAGTAACAGCTATTACTTCGCTGCCACTATATTTTCGACGCGGTTTTAGGTACCAAAATTATCTGAGCCATGTAGAATAATTTCTACACTACTTGTTAGTATCTTCGAATTTTTAGTTTAGTTCTTGTTATTTGAGTTACCGACCGAGTGAGGCGTAGTGTTTTAGCATCAAGTCAACGAATTGTAAATTTTAAAGTTTAAGGGGTACCCTTTCTCCTCTGCAGTTCCTACACGTACTTCAGTTGTCGCATTAGAAGATAAACAAGTAGTAGATCTTACAAGGTAACTGAAGACAATTCCAAATGAGATTTGAATTTTACCATCTTTGAATGCTCAATGCTGTTTCTATTCGGCAACATTATTAGCACACAAGTCATCTAAAGTATTTCGAATAATGAAACACCATGAAAAAAATGACATTTTATTAACTAAATTTCACACAATTTATGGAAACATGATTGTCACAGTTATTTCAAACTGACATAAATACAAAAAGGCTACATAAAATTACAAAAAAAGTTCATAGATGGTTGTTTTTACCATCTGTGTATTGTTGAAATATATATTTGATATGGCTGATCCGTAGAGTTTTTTGTGATTTTATCCATAGAGTTCCGTAGAGTGATCCGTAGAGTTTTTCTCTTTCTTAATGTTAGGGCGGCTTGATGGAAACCGGACTTCTTCTTTCCTTGATTCAGCTTATGTCTGAATGTATTATTTAAGCACTTAACGTTCATCTCAAGTGACTAGCCGAAGTTAAAAATTAGTAAAAAATCAGAAATTCGCCCGTATTCATAAATGTACGTTCTACAATGACGTGTACATATACAATGAGAAATGGATTACACAGGATAAAAACTTTGTAAAAAATTCTGTAAAACAACCGAATGCAAGGCCCACGTTCGATATTCTATTCATTGTTAATAAGCAAGAGACTGTGTTGAAAACACAGGCAGAGAAACCAGAAGATTAATAACTTAAAAAACAACAATAATAACAACAACAAATTGTATTACACTATTTGGAATAATTTGTAGCTTTAGGTTTCTTCATTCGTACTTTTAACTGAAATAGAATGTTATCGTTTGTATAATTTTCACCTGCTTAGAAGATGAATAATTTTTTAACAATATTCTTTTGCTATTCCAAAAATACCTTTCTTATAAATTCAATTGTGTTTAAAAGTAGTTTAACTAATTTTATATTGGCTATAGCTTTTATTTCTCTACAATGCTTTTATTTCTCTACAATGCTTTTATTTTTTTACAATGCTTTTATTTCTCTACAATGCTTGAATTTCTATATTACGCTTACTAAGATAAGTGACTGCCATAGCCATCTATTGCTATTTAAAACATGAAATTTAAAGTTATACAAGGATACAAGAAAAGCGTTTTGTTTATTTGCTCAACACAAATGGTTTATGCAATATTAAAAAGTATTTATTTCTCTTTTGAAAAGATTATTTTATAGTACTAATAAGGAAAAGAGTAAGTAGAACAAATAAACATAATTCTCAAAGGCAAAACTTGTGGCAATGGAAAAAATATCAAATAATTGCTTTTTTAAGAAAGAACTTTTAAATGTGTTTCAAACATTTTAAAATCTTCAGCTTTCAAATTAATCACATTTGGAATGAGAAACTATTAACATAAGCTTAAGTCTAATTACTGGGCCTTACAATCGAGTTTCGCTGTAGTCCATTCACTTCACACAATTGTCTCTAATAGGATCAATGGCCGCTGAAAATGTCATGAGAAAATTCATGACGTGGCACACAAAGGTATTTGTTCCTAGAATGCTTATAATACAACTTAATCACAATGGCAACTGAAATTCTCTGACATAACCACTGTTTAATCGTGACATGTAACGACTAAGTGGGCTGTCAGGATCGCTGCTTCTCCGCGTAGGCAAGTCCCTACTTTCTCTAAAATGCTTTTTTGGAGATTCCTGCCGTGCATGCAAGTCGTCCCACCTTTCGAGGTAACCTCCATTAGAATCCCGATTAGAACGGTGATACCCCATCATACGGTTTCGGTCTGAAGCTCTCAGACCATTGTCGTCGACGAATCCCGGATTTACGTGATCTTCTCTCTCCCTCGAACGCGGTGAATCTCCAGGCTGTCCTACAGATGTTAGCTTAGTGGAGCTGCCATGCAACTGGTGAGCATGGTCAATGATGGCATCATTACCACCTCTCCAACTTCCGTCACTACTTTCACCGCTGGTACCGATGCCTTGATCAAGATCTCCGTTATCTGTCCAGGTAGCTGTAGTCTTGTACTTAGGTTCTTCTGCTATTACAGCAAAATGAGAATCTGCGAGAGTTCGGTACGTTGGAGCCGAAAGTTTTCCATCGTGATTTGCCAATATATCACTATGTTTGGGAGTTATGTAGAATGGAGGTGCACCATCTTTTTCTGGAGCGGATTCAGATGATTTTTTCGCTCCACTGCACCAACCATCAGTCAGGGACAGTAATACTGGCAGAAGCAATAAACCATGAATGGCAGCAAAAAGTATAACTAAAAATACAGTCTTGAAGAAAACTGTAAATATGTAAGATGGCGCTGCATTTAATACAACAATTCCTATAAGAGTTGAAATGCTACCCTGAGCAATTGGTAGCCCTAAAGAATGCAAAGCATTTCTCATTCGCATGTCTGGATCTTTTTGCTCAGAAGATATGTATGCATACGTTATATGAGCTGAATAATCCACAGAAAATCCTATGCATAGAATCAGATTGATCATGGATATAGCATCCAGATTCACATTCCACCAACTCATGTAACCAACCACTCCTATTTCTATGGAAAATATTGAAAATGCTACCCACAGCGCACAGCTAGGGATGGGAATAAATATAAAAGAAATTATCATCATAACTGCTGTTGCAACACCTACAGCCTGAATGGAAGTCTCTTTAATCAACAGGAATTGGTCAAAGAGAACAAAGAGTTGGTTGAACACAACAACGGGTAGCGTTGAATTGTCCGCAATTTGCCGCAATTCTAAAAGCATATTCTTTTCGTCATTAGCATCCATTATGTTTTCTGTTTGCAGAACAAATCTCGATGCAGTAATCTCTGTATAATCCTCATTAAATTTGATATCTTGCTGGAAATAATTTTGGGAAAGTCTGAAAAATACTTGCCTTATGCCTCTATAAAAATCTTCTTTTTTACTCATGTTGAAACCCTGGAGAAAAACTTGCGTTCGCGAATCTTTCATAAATCTATGGTATATTCTCAACCAAGATTCTGTAAACCGTGGTCCAGCCATTAGCCTATTATTTTCCAGCCTATGAAGCAGGTCTTCAACTTCCTCTTGAACTTTAGGATCGGAATAATCTAACGTTTTGTTTATCACCACCTGGATTCGATACGGATATTTCCTGAAGTATTTATCCTCTAGCTCATAATAATCTAGAGAGTATGAATCGTAACGTGCCATTTTGAAGCGTTCCAGACCTTCCTTGACTTTCGTACATCCCCATAATCCAAAGCCGAGATAAATTAAGAATACAACAATGATGACAAACTTCACAGGCTTTCTGCTGAGGAAAACTCCTAGTTTGTCCCGAAAAAACTTCATCATCATATTTTCCTTGTTGTCCATTGGATTGTCTGGATCTGTAGGATTGCGTCCACCCGTGCAAAAGAGATTGAAGCATTTTCCTCTGTCCTCTAGAATATGGAAAGAAGAAAAAATATATATATATATATATATATATATAAATCTTTCAAGAAATATGTAAAATAAATTCTGCAAGTTAATTAGACAAGATGTTATGCTGAATTTTGACCCAATGGATTGTTACGTTTAACTTTAAATTATGTATAACTATAAAAATAGTATTAAAATATTATTTTAATTTTTTGAAACTTGATCAAAAGAATGAAATATAATAACTATTGTACAGAAGACAGAACTATGCTTTTGTTATATAAGCACAAATTTAAGAATTCTACTCCACTGGTATTGATTAGCAATTTAAATTTAAATGTGGCTTCAATAAAATGAATAAGTAATTTTAAAAAACTGAAGATTCGCTCATTAAAAGGACTGATTGAAAAGTGTCGACACTGCCTCTGTTTCTAGATTCGTAGAATCTATACTATTAAAATATCTGTACTCGTCTGCCCGTTTGTTTGCGACATTATCTCCTCCGAAACGACGGGGAGTTGAGTTTCAAAAGAGGTAACCACAGATTCCAAAAATTCGTGGAAAACCTTTTCAACCATTCTCAACTTCGTACGACTTTAGTCAGCCGAGATATTAATTAAAAGTTGTGAAAACTTTAATTTTCGTACTCAGTTTTCCGAGTGGCAACAGTCTCGCGCTCTGGAAATAAAAATCTGCTTTATTTCAAAAAGTGCTGCCACTGCTCGCGTTCAAATCGTAGAGTTTGTTAATAAAAAATTTGTAAGTTTTACGAAATATGAAATAAAAATAGCATTGCCAAACATTAAATGCATTATCATTATACAAAGACATATTCTGACGTTGAAGAAAGCAGGCGATTGCATGTGACGTCATTGTATGTCGAAACTTTTTAGTTAATGTCAACGTTTTAAATAAATAGTTGCTGTTGGCAACTTTTGTGTTTCGGGTTAGGATAACTGACACGATATGTTACTGGCACGTTGATCTTTTATTGATATTGAGAAAAAGTTGATTTATTACATTAATTTAAATCATGACATCATAATGTTCGTGCCTGAAGTGTGAAAGGTTTTTGTTTCCTGGTTTGGAAACAAAAAATTATTTACAAAATGGTTGTTGCTTAGAAAGAATGAACTGATTTCCATTCGTATTGAAATTTTTTATGCATTTCCTTTTCAGGTGCACATAGAACGTGTAAGTTTTGCTTTGGCCTCAGCCCGCTTATCTGACGGACTTGCCTCCTGCTAAAATTTATAAAGATTAATAGATAGCAATGTGGTCAGACAGTGAGTTAAGTTCTTACAAAATTTCGAGACGGATCTTATGAATCAATCACGAAGAAAAGTAATCGAAAAATTATTGTTCATGTTTAATTAAGGATCAGTTAATTTAAATAACTGAATTCCTTTACGTTAAGGAGATAAATCGGGGAAACTTACAGAACAGTACAAAAGACTATAATGTTTTTTGTTGTCATCGAATATCGCCTTAGATGAGAGCCAGCCATCTTCCCTCCACTATTTTTAGAACACGTGAAACAACGCTTAATTTTTAAGAAATAAAACATCTTTTACCACGAAGCGGTTTGGGAGACCTTAAGATTTAGTTGAAAACCTCATAAGGGATTATTACTGAAATCCTTGCAAGCGAAAAGTTTCCAGTTAAAACAAGATGACTGCATTCATCCACAAGGAATGAATACGTCGGCAATAGCAAAGCAATTACTGAAACAAATTATTATCTAGGAATTGGACTCATAAAACAAATAAATAATATAGTTTAAATCTGGAAGTTGAATACAACATAAAAAGCCTTAGGCAAGTTCAGGATATCATATGAAACCATTTCAAACTAAAAATTCAGATTCTTGACTAGAGATATTCATTGCAGAATACTTTTCTTGTATAAATTCCAGGAATACATTAAATACTGTAAATTATGAACAATATTTTGCATTAACTACAGGAATTATTTAGGTACAAGTCCGCAGATAATTTAGCAGACCTTAGGTTTCTGCGCATTATAAGATATGGTCAGCTTTTAACTGACTAGGCAAAAACTTTGTGCGGCCCTAAAATACTCGGGTCCCATGGACACACAAAAGAAACTGTGTACTTCTTGCGTCTATTTTTAAGATATATTTATTTTCATACTATCCGATAGTAATAAATGTTATTAATATAGTCCCTCTAAGATAATATGAGTTCTTTATATTCACCGAAAATAAGCGATATCAGGAAAATAATTTATATTGAATATATATCACGGAATATTAAATTATACTCATTTTTTCCCTGTATTTCATTTAAACTTATTGAATTAAATCTATTTCGTCGATAGGGGATAAACCAAAGTAGAATAGATGCATTCTTCACGATTCACTATATTAATTTACATAGAGACACTGGTGGTATACGCAAAAACAACAATTCGGCCAGCAGACAAGAAGGCTGAATTTTCGGTGCACAAAACTAAAGGTTTCCTTTGGGTCCCGCTCGGAAAAAAGACACTAAAGGTGCAGAAAGAATTAATACAAGTTTTAAATGTATACAAATATGATTGCTATGGTAAAAAAAATTCGGCTTAAGAGCACTTAAACAACTTTTAAATTGTTGATAATTCTACACATATCATATAATTATAAATTTCCCAATGTCCACACTTTTCCTAAAAAAAAAAATAGAAAGGTTTTATTTATGGTGATTTAAAAAATAAAGATGGACAAAAATATGGAAACACCTTGTGAAATGCATGTTTGAAAAGAAAGATTGATTTTAATGAAATATGTAGGTGGCGCTGGCGTTTTTGACTACTGACGCCACCTATACAACTTCGTAAATGTGCTAAACAGTTCAGTTGTTGTCGGAGTACTGTTATGTGAGGTTGTCATTGCATTATGTCAGAGTTAACAGACTTCGAACGTGGGCAAATTGTTGGAGCACGTATGGTAGGTGCTTCCGTAAGCAAGGTAGCCGAGGTGTTTAGTGTTTCAAGAGGTACTGTATCGAAGATTTATTCCGCATATTTGAAAAGCGGAAAAACATCATCTGCTAAATCACAGCGCGGACGAAAGTGTGTCCTGAGTGATCGTGACAGACGATCATTAAGGGCAATTGTGACGAAAAATAAAAAGAAGAAGACCACAGCTGCAAAAGTTACTGCTGAAATGAATGTTGTGTTACCGAACCCTGTGAGTACCAAAACAATTAGAAGGGAGCTTCATAAACAGGGAATTGCTGGCCGTGCTGCAATTGAGAAGCCACTCATCAGTGATGCTAATGCCCGTAACAGGAAAAGGTGGTGTTTAAGTCATAAAGCCTGGACTATAGAGCAGTGGAAGCGAGTAATATGGTCTGACGAGTCTTCTTTCACATTGTTTCCCACTTCTGGCCGAGTTTACGTCTGGAGAACGCCATCTCAAGCCTATAATACAGACTGCTTGTTGCCAAGAGTGAAACATGGCGGGGGTTCTGTTATGGTTTGGGCAGCCATATCGTGGTTCTCTGCTAGCCCCATGATAACTGTGTCAGGGCACATGACTGCCAAGACTTATGTGAACATTTTGGCCGATCAAGTTCATCCCATGGTACAAACTTTGTTCCCCGATGGTGATGGTGTCTTCCAAGACGACAAAGCCCCTGTTCACACAGCTCACATTGTCCAGGACTGGTTTTCTGAGCACGAGGATGAGTTGTCCCATCTCCCCTGGCCACCACAGTCACCAGACCTGAATATTATCGAACCTTTGTGGTCTACATTGGAACGGAAAGTGCGTTCTCGTTATCCACCGCCAACATCGTTATCTGAACTTGCCACCGTTTTGCAGGAAGAATGGTATAATATTCCCTTGGCAAACATACAGGAACTGTATTTATCCATTCCGAGAAGACTGCAAGCTGTTTTGGATGCCAACGGGTTTCCTACACCATATTAAGCAAAGAAACATGTTTTTTTAAAGGTGTTTCCATATTTTTGTCCAAACCCGTATTGAATATTAAACGGCCTTTTGTATTTATAACTGAAATATGGTCCATAATTTGTGATTATGTTGTATGTATTCGTCCACAGAAGTAAAAGTGCAATTCATTACCTCAAGCTCTGAAGATTAATATTCAAACGCTTGGAGCTATGAAATGTAAATAATTTTGCTTATTATTCCAGTTTATGATTCTTGTATGGTCGAGTCTCTGAATTCAGAAAGGGTTTTGAAGTTTTACAAATAGACAAAGAAGATCGCTTAGTAGCTTAAACTTTTTTAATTGTAATACATTATGCGGTTTTTCAAATTACTCTGACACAGAGATTTTTCTTCATATCGCTTTCCATCGCGTTCTTTGGTGTTTCTTCTTCTGGCATAAGTGGATAGTACATTAAGTTATAATTGCATGGTGCGTGGTTCGAATTTCGAAAAAGGGACAGTGATTTTTTGTGTTTCTTGGTCGGAAATGTTTCTACACTTTTGCAAGAAAAATTGGCCTTCTCCCTAGAAAAACGTTACTTAGACAAAGCGATGACTCATGCACCATACCAGTTCAATTACATCGAAGCTATAAAAAAAAATTAAAAAAAAAAAATTCCAACAGTCAATAAGAAATACAATGTTAATAATTAAAATGCAGAGGATAACTGAAAACGTCCTTCACATTTATCTGTATTAAGACAATTATATAGACCCGTTTCTGCCAACACTATTATTTACCTCATATTGACCTTCTAATTAATTGGCAGCACAAACAACTCGAGAACACTGATCGTGATGTGTTGATACTGAAGATAGAAGGAAGGCCACACTATTGTTTTCCAATTTCTCGTTCTGTTTTTTAATTTGTAGGATTATTGCACTTGCCCTCAAGATATTTAATACGTTTGGAGCGTGTTAAGATTTAAGACCTGTTTTCTCAAAAGAAATGACTGGAAATGAACAGTACGTAAGTTCAAAATAAAAAAAGGTCTGCAGTTATTTTATTGGTGAGAGTAAACAGGTAAAATTACAGGGGACACTACAGGCTTCGCAATAGGA